GAAAGCTGTTGTTTGAAGGTCTCAACAAGTTTTTTTTATTTACATTAGTTTAAACAGCATCATGAAGACCAAATAAATACCCAGGCAGATCAAATGTAAATTTGTTGAATCTTTTAAAGTAAGTTAAGTTTTAAAACAATACATTGAAGAACTATGTTATCCAAAAATAATATGCAGACATCCACAGCTCAGAAGAAAAAAAAGATACTGTTTGCAGTTATGTGGAAAAGGGCAGATTAGACCAAAGTTTTAACTAACTGGCTTACTTGCAAAACACTGATATGGAAAATTTACCATAGAAATCACTGTGACGTCCTCATTCTGAACCATGGTGGTGGCAAGTTATACTGTAAGAATACCTTTCTTTACCTGGCATAATGAAATTACAGAAGCTACTTTGTGATTGTCTTATCACATAATATCCCATAAAAACTGAAGTTTGTGAATATAATGTGACAAATTTAGAAATGCTAAGGGTGTGTAATGGTCTTGAAAATTGGTGCAATTTTATTTCAGAATGTAACTTTAGAACATTTGACAGCCTATATTTTCAGTATAGTTTGACTGAAGCTTAAAACAAAGGGATATTTCTTTCCATAGTTTTGGTTTAATTAGCTTATATTTTCTGGCTTACCTGGGTTGTACAGGCACCTAATAGTGACACATTTTGGTTATCAAATCTATAAATTATCATTTAAAAACAGTATTATATGACATAAATACAACACTGCATTGATTTGCATAATAATAAAGAGCAATCAGTTAGACAAACAAATTTGACTTTAACCAGGATGAGAGACACAGTGATGGTGATGAAGTAAAGCATCTAAACTTCATCTCAAATACTACTTAGATCAGCAGGTGAACTGCTAATAATCAAGGAGACTCCACCCTTAAACCCAGTTTAGTTGGCTGAAACCCAGAGTACATATCCACCCTTCCTGTCTGCACATCCCTAAAATAAACATGAAGTAAAATCTGTAATATAGGCCTCATAAAGTAAAGCACCATTGGCATGCGGTACATGGCATAGTGAGAGCTAAGAGGCAAGCCAACCCCACCCCCTTCTCTGCAAAATTATCATTACAGAGACAGAGTGGGAAGAGCGACAGAGGGTGAGGGGAAGTGAAAGGGATAAGGGCGAGGCAGTTGGACCATCTTCCCAGAGGCTCAATCACATTTAATGCCTGGACGAAGAGACAGAACTATCTGCTGGTCACTAATGTTAATATCAGCAAAATAATGAAAAGTCGGCTCCAGAATTACTGCTTTGACATAGAGAGCTAAAAATGGAAAGATGGCATACAATCAGTATTTGTCAAAGTGTTTTACTTTCTGCCAACCATCTTTTTTTTTTTTGATATACATCTCTGTTTGACTCTCTCTTCCCATCTCCTACCCTCATTCCATCTTTAACTGCAACAAAGGGATTAAAAAGGATTACTTCTGACATGTCAATGTGACGCTTGTGATAAGTATAGTGGGATTTTTATTTTCTCTTGCACTCCTAAGTCAATATGATAAGCATACAAAGAAGGAAAGAGGTCACCATACATTATAAAGAAGATAGAGTGTGAGATAACATAAACTTAGTGTATTGAAATGTTATATCAACAAGAGCAAATGCTACATTCTGTTTCTTAGACAACAAAACTTTCACAAATTTGTGAAAATGATTGCCAAAGTTCCAGCTTCACTGTGTTTGGGTCCCATGTAGGACTACTCAAAAGTGGGATATACAGTATCTGTCATTTTGAAGCTTTCCTATGGAAGTAAGGATAAGCAGTGATGCTACAGAGACATTGTGTATAAATGAGGGTAAAGACAAGTATTGTTTTGGATATGAAATCCTTTTCATGTGATTCAAAGGACAAAAACGGGTTTGAGGTGTTAAAAAAGTTCAAAAGTCAGTGCGACTTAAGCAGCCAGCTGACCAACCACACTTCCTTCGCTCAGACAAATGCAGCCAAAATTATTCTATAGAACCAAAATAACCATAATATCCCAGTCAAGCCAAAAATGTTTTCATTACAGATGGTTTTTACAAGATAATCAACTTGTTTAAACATATAGAAAACAAAAAATATGGGTTTCATATTATGCACTTCAAAAAAAAAAAATTGCGGCTTCAGCACACATATGCTTGCATTGTCTTGATTATATTATAAACAGGATGGTGTGGTTTCCGTTTGTTCAAATCTTGTGTTTGTTGTGGATATTGGCATAGCAGAGGTATTGCTATGATGTGTGCTCTCTAAATGTTCAATTAGGCATCTGTACATAAAGATAACTGTATCCATTACAGTTCTCCAAAATTCAGCCAATTGCCTTCTTATTAGAGTTAAATAATATCATCACATTAGTCCAGTTTATTTTACTTTTAATAGGAATTAAATTCACTTAAGATATTATTTGTTCCAATGTTTGGATGAGAAGGAAATTGTAGAAGAAAACAATTACAACCCCACATCAGCCCAACTCTCTGTTCTGATAACAAAACATTAGTCCAGACTTAAAGAACTATGAACAATTAAAAAAAAAAAAATCTAAACATGTTTTTAAACTAGAGGGGCACCAATCCGACTTTACTTTGTTGATACCAATTGCAAAACTAAGTAAGGACATTTTGTGATGGTCCCTTGATAAAAGCAGTATCTTTTAAAGGCATCGTCCACTTTTTTTTCAGTCTATTGAAAGTTGCCTTTAATACGATCTAAAATTGATATTGCTGTGGTATTATTGTTTTTTTGTTTTTGTTCTTTGCTTTTTTTTTAGAAGTTTGTGTTTACATATTTTCTGTTTAAAAACCCTTTAAATCTTGGATTTTATCTAGACGTCATTCTATCGTTTTACATGACCTTGGTAAAGCATGCACTTGGTAAACAATGCATTGAAATATATGTCCCTAAACGTTTTAACTTATTTGCAGATGTAACACTGTGAATTATAGTGCATTCTGTTGAAGCGTTTATATACTGAAGGTGGCAGAGTTTCTTACTTTTGCTGGACATAAGATTTATATAAAAATTTCTTAGTTATATATGCAGGAATCTTTATGCACACTGCTTGATTAAAGGTTTTTTTCTGCATACAGGAATGTTGCTATAGAGATAGAGAGACTTCACATAAATGTGTAATATTTTTAGAGTCCATTAAATTACTACCAGGTGATCAAATAATGAAAATTGTATAAGTAATGCATTAAGTTTTTAGAAAGGGTCATAGGTTAATTGGACAAGTAATGCTTTAATATGCTGCAAAAACATAAACATGCATGTTGCTGAGTAACCCAAGAGATTAGTTTCAACAAAACTGGCACAGGTAAGACATAATAATAAACAAATACATAAACAGTAGTAGATATTTGCAAAGAGTATGCGTATCAGGAGATTCTACTTATTGCCAGTTGTCTGCAGCTATAATTTTAGTCCTGGTACGCCTCCAAATGTCTCAAAAGACATTCAGCTCACACTGTGAAAAGTCTTATCTGAGGAAACTTACAGTGTGTGAGGAGATAAAGTTTCAGAGGCTCACTGTGAGACACTTGCCCAACATGAGCCTTGCTGCTGTGATCAAACCGTTCAGTCACAGGGTGATCTGCCTAACCGGTGGATTACACCGGCACCCCTGAAGGATGAGAACTGCAGTTTTTAAAGAGGAAATTCTGTATGCAGAATGAAGGCTTTGTGACTCATTGTTCCAGCAGAGGTGCAAATGTAACTGTGCCAAAATACAGTTGACAAAAAGTTCAAGAAAATAGCCTGGGGTGCCTGCTCTGTCATTTTCAGAGAAAGGTGTTGAATGTTTTTTTTGTTTGTTTGTTTGTTTGTTTTTTGAGGGGGTGGGGGTTAAATTATTATTATTTATTTTTTTTTATGTGAAATTTGTTATCACATCCTGGCTTTGTTTGATCAGATCTCACTCAGTTGCAGCTGTTGGTATTGGATGCATCCGTTCTGGCCTGCAGCCCAGAGGAAAACCTCAACCTGATCCAGCTGCTGGCAGACTGCACTCAGGTAGCCTCTAAATTGGCTTATCTATGCTGACCCTGGCCGGCTGATTAACAAACAGTGCTGTATGGCAGCACAGAGCGCTGGATTAGGGACGTGGTTTCTATGTGTGTTTGAAAGTGTGAGTGGATCATAACCGTGGCACGGACAGGTGCTTATCTCATTCCACTGGTGTAAAGCCCATGCGTGACTCTGACTCGGAGAGGCCCAACACTCTGCATCAAGTCTCTCTCTCTCACACACACACATTTTTAGTCTATTGGTTGCTGGAAGCCTCCCAGTTGTGTAGCGACCATGCAATCCCACCTCTCATCCTACATGGCACGCGCCCCCTCTCTCTTTCCAAGCTGCTGCAAATCTACCCCTAAATACAAGAATCACGCTCAAAACACAACAGTGTCACTATGCAGGCGGCGGTGGAAGGTAGAAAAGACGCTAGGACCCCCCCACCCCAAAACACAGACACACACCCCACTCTCTGCCACTGCAGTATCGCTGTCAGATGATGATATTGGAGGTAATGCCATTATACTTAAAGATAATCTATAAATAGAATATCTGTAGCCTTCTCGGGTAATTCAGGGAGCAAGCATCACAAAAACCACCTGTTCTGCGCCCACACCGAAAGGGAAGAAGGCTGCATGCTCTTAAAGTGTTAAGAAGCAGGACGCATTCATGGTATTAATCATACCAGACGCAGCTGTAATGTAAAGTTGCCCTCTGCTCTGAGGGATCATTTGAAATTTCTGATTTGCCATTTTAACCTGAATGGATGAAAAAGAAAGAAGTGAAACTCCGAGAAACATCGGTGCGTCAGAAAACCATTGAAGCAGGAGCGCGTTTATCAATGTCTAATCCCCCCCCCCCCCCCCTTCTGTTTCCTGACAGACGCTCACAAAAGCTCTGCTGTGATTTTTTATTTATTTTTATTTTTTTGTGACCAAAAAAAAAAATAAATAAATAAATAAAACATCCAAATCAGTAACTTACCGATATGGATGATTGAATCCGACAGCGCCGACTTCCACTCCTGGCTCCAAAAAACGGCAATAAGCATCACGACCAGGAGAACTTTCATTATGTCCAGATGAGGGGAAAAAGACAGACAGAAAAAAGAAAAAAAAAATACAGCTCTGAGCAGAGTTAAAAACCCGTGAAACGAGGCTTCTCTTTTAGTCCATCAATCTATCTTAGTTTTGCTCTTTTTTGCGCGTTAGGAAGGAGAAGGAAAGGGTATAAATGAAGAGGAGCAGATTTCTAGGGTATAGTGAGAGACCTGCACCCTGTTGAAATTCCTCCTAACATTAAATCAGATCCTGGGTGAGCAGCGGCGCCGAGCTGCAGTGAAGGAAAAAAGAGAAAAACGCGCCGCATCCAAAACGCCGACGCGTTCAGTCGAGGCTGAGAGGCTGGAGGATGTTATCAATCGTTACAGAAAGAAACGCATCCGATCAAATTCGATAGCGATAGACGTACTTTGGGGTTAAACCTCGTTGTCTTGAACTGCAGGTCCTGTGATGGCCAATGACCCCAGATCCCCCCCTGCTTTTTTAGATCTGGCGACGCAGTTTCCCCTCCTGCACCAATCGCCACCAGCAGCCTCTCAGAGGACCAAGCCAACGTCCAAAACTTCCATTCCTCCTGGGGTTCCCTTTATGCTCCCCTTCACTCAGCTATTCTATAAAAAATCCCCAAAAGTCTGAGCTAGAAGCGACTTTTCTTGAAGATGATGGAAACGCCAAAATGTGGAATAGCCAGGTCACATGGCATTACCACGAAAGGCACAAAATATTCCACAATTGTCTTTAGAATTCCTGTAGAAATGAAGACTGAGAAGAGATCTGATGTGAGAGAGCCCCAGATTCTTTTCAGCACACTGGAAGGGGAAATGTAGGCATTTGAAGGGAAAAGGATGCATATAACAGAGGATGCACTCAGCGACACTCCTTGTGCCGCACTCCGTATGCGCGCACTCGCCTCAGCTCCAGCTCGAGCGGTGGCTGGTGGAGAGGAGGTATGCAGCGTCCGCTGTGGGAGAGAGAGGAAGGTTGGAGGCTGGAGTGGAACAGAGAGAGAGAGAGAAAGGAGAGAGATGGAAACTATAAGGAGGGGTGCCAAGTGCCAGGGTGAAAGAGTGATGAAATTAAAATATATACAAAGGAAAAGGGGTTCTGCACGACTGATGAGTAAAAAGGGGGGGTAGTATAGGTGTATCCCAATAAACTATACTATAAACAATACAGTAAGTTAATGAATTTATTTTAACCATTTAAATGGAAACCTGGTTCAAATAACCAATTTACATAAAACATTTTACCTAAAGGGCTGCCCAGTGGAACAGTGGGTAGCCCTGCTGCCTTGCAGCAATCAAGTTCTGGGTTTGATTCCTGGCCAGGGGTCTTTCTGCATGGAGGTTGCATATTCTCCCTGAGCATGCATGGGTTTGGCAGGTACCCCAGCTTTCTCCCACAGTCCAAAAACATGACTGTTAGGTTAATTGGCTTCTCTAATTACTCTTTAGGCGTGAGTGTGTGCGTGAATGGTTGTTTCCTGTTTGTCTCTTTGTTATCCTGCATCCTGCAATGGACTGGAGACCTGTCCAGGGTGCATCCCGCCTCTCGCCCTTTGACAGCTGGAAGCACCAGCACCTCTCGTGACCCCACTTGGGATTAACCGTGTCACATTATAAATACTCAACATTACACTTAATGGGTTTATAGGTAGTCCTTAAAGTTGATAAAACTAGCTATTTTTTTACTAGTGCTTTATGATAAAACAAGTTGCAGAGGCAAAAAGAAACCAGAGGAAATCAAGAGCATCCAATTTTAACTAATAACATAAATGCCTGAATTGTTGCTTCGTGGCTCAATCCTCACTATTCAGTTTAAAGGCATAAATATCGGTAAGCTGATGAGGTGTTATACTTCATATAGGGGCCCACCCAGATAATGTTGCTTACGGGCCTATTGTTGTGTCGTTACGTCATTGATTCAGGTGAATGTACATTTAGCATTACATTTTGAAATATATGCCCTACTGTGTTAAAGAAGTGTGGAAAGGCATGTAATCCAAGATGCCTACTGTAACATTCCCACAGTTTATTAGGATTCTACCATTTTATCAAGTTGACAGTGAGCATATAGTCTAACAGAGAATTTTCAAAATGCAATGTGTTTCCAGAGCCGACTAGCTTTATGATAATATTTGTTAGCAGGACTGCTCTCACCCAAAGGTATCACTACCAGGGCAACAGTCTCCTTCCCAGAAGGGGATCTATGTTTGTCAAGAGAAAGATGATCAGTTCTAACAATGCAGACTAAAGGCAATTTGAGCTTCCTTAGTCTTTTGATTGCCAAGTACATGGAACTAGTAGTTTGTGCCTAAAGATCCCAACTATAGATTAAGTGCAGGTACTGAACAGTCAACAATTTTCAATAGACTTGTTTTTTTTCATATTTGTCTGGATTTTGTGAAGTACCATAGTGCAGATTGAAATGGAATATATTTAATCAAAAAATAATAATCCATGCAAAGAGCAAAAATTGAGAACAGGGCAGGATATAATAGAACCTTAAGTAGGAACAATTAAAGAAACACACAAAGAGTATGACAACCACACAGCTTATATGCAAAGTAAAGAGCGGTGAAATTCATAGAAAAACAAGTGGGAGCAACAAGGGAAAACAAAGCTGAGCAGATAAGAGTAATACGGGGGGTTTCATAACATACAGTAGAGAAACAATGGGAAGACACCATAGATCAAAATTGTCCCTAAGAATCTAATCCATAAGCATGTAAATGAAAAAGCATCAGCTTGAGAAATTAAACATCTGGGAAGAAAGAGACATACAACTTAAACACCTAGGGATCATGTATACTTGCGTGAAAATCATTCTTAAATGATTCTTATATACTGCACATATTCTAATTTTCTGAAAAACTTTATCCTGATCTTCAAATTTAAAAGAAATAAAGGCTCTAGAAGCATCACTGTCTGTAAACCGGTAAATTTATTTTGTCCTTTGAAAGAAAATGTTTTCCCTTTTTGAATCCAAGCTGGCTATGCCCAGGGGCAAGAGGTGGAATTCAATCCTTAGAAGAAATCTGCTGAAAGACAGATGTTGTCTCTCACCTATCCGCACCATCAGGATTAGAGCTGAAACAGTTAACCTTTTAGGAAACGCTGAGACTTTGTTAAGTTCCATGTAGCATTGGTGCCATGAAATCAAAAGTCTGTGCTGGACTTTTGGGGGGTGGGGGAATCCATATTTCCTGTCAAAATTGGCTGGGAAGCTTTCTGTGAAGTTTTCATTTTGTTAGTGCTCATTGGAGATAAGACAGGGTATTGCAAAGTCAGATTTTGGATGGAGGGAGTTTTATGGGGGGCTCCTTCCACCTGTCTTGCGAAACCCGGCGGGGAACCCTTTTGTGATGATCTCTCACTCTGAGCAAAGTGTCTAGTTATTCTTGCCTTAGCTGGAACTGTACACTGTATGTGCCAGCCTGTTTTTGTTGGGTTTATATTCTCTATTCCAGTTTGAGGCTGCTACTGGGTAGGTCACATAATAAACAGATTAGATATTAGATTAGCTGCTATTTGTCTCAACAGAGGCCATCTTTCTTGAAACGTTTTTTTCTCAAAAATATTGAAATTGTTAACAGAGTTAAACGGTAATTCTGCACACACATTTTTTTCCCACTCTCTAATAATCATAAAAAAGGGTGAAGGGTAGCATATTGCGCTGACTAGATCCTGTCAACTTGTGCTTTTGGATTTGATCAAATAAACATGGCAAAGTCATTTAGAAAAAAAATAATAATAATCAATGGGAGTACCTGGTAAAAAGTACATTAAGTACAACATTTCCACAAATATCAAACTCAGGAGTAAAATACTGCCAATAGGGATCAGGAAAGAAAAGCATCTCAGCAGGCAGAGAGGCAGAAGAACCTTTAGTGAGGATCAATGAGATTTACACCTGAATGTGTTTCTGTTGATTACATGCACATGGTTTGTCTTCATTTCTCTTTAATTCAAGGTGGGGTTTTCTGCTCATTTATTGTCAAGGCTTCTGGTGGAGTATCTAATTTCCTGTGTGTGT